GACCCCCAAGGGCCCACTATCCTGGAGGGTTGGACGCCAATAGTCACCAGGGGTCCTGAAGGGACAGGAGAATCTGTTTCTGCATATGCGGTTCCAGAGCAACAGGAGAGCCCAAGCAGGCCTACTGAGTCAGGCAGAAAATGCCCAGGATGATCCCGGTGCCTCTGAGGTCACTGAACCCCTGCACAGTCAGCCTGAAACTCCCCAGAGTTCCCCAGGAGGTCTCCAAGATGCTGAACTAATACCAGCCCTGTTGGGGAAGCCAGGCCAGGACCTACAAACTGCAGGACAACCTGGTGGGCACAAACTCACACCACCAGTTTATGGGGAGCCAGGCCCTAGCCAGGCCCAGCAGGGCATGCTGGCATTGGTGTGTTCATACCAGCCCCACTGCGGGAGACAGGTATAGGCCAGGATGCTTCAGGAGCTGCCCAGTGTGGGCAGTTCACACCCCCACTGCTGGGGCAGCCAAGACAGGAGCAGGAGCCTGCAGGCTTGATTGTATTGTTTTTGATATTCTTCTTTTTTTTATTTTTTACATCATTTTTCACTTGCAAACACTCTTGCTTCCCCCCACCTCTTCAGATACAGTCCCCTAGAGTTTCCTTCTGCAAGGCACCTGTGCACCATCACCGCAGTCCCCTGTGCTCCTCCCTCGCTCCCTCTGGTCCTTCTTCTGCCTCCTCCCCTACAGGATGTCTCTGATTAAGGCCTCTGACTTGGGATCCTGCACACTTCTTTGAGGATTCTGAGGCAACAGGAGTATTGCAGGAGGAACCAGACAATGACCAGCCACCTCTGGCCAACATCCTGAAGGTTCAAGAGAGGGTTCTAAGCCAGCAGCAGCCCTGCCTGGGGAACCAGGCCCTGCAGGGATCCTACAGCAAAATAGAGGGTGCTCACCTGACACCACCCCTCCAAGGACACGGCCTATGGCCCTGGACCTGCCTGTCCACATCCAATGCAATTGGTGCCTCCATTCAGCACTGCTGACCCCAAACCTGTCCTCGCCCTCCTCCCTAGCCACATGCCTTGTTTAGCTTCTACCGTGTCCCCACCCAAGACAACTGGGTCTTGTCTTGTTGTTCAAAATCTTTTGGTTTTAATTGTTTCAAGTTGAGGGTTCATTTTCTTTCCATTCAGGTTTCTGGTTCATTGTGGAAATGCTAATAAAGTTTGTTTCATTTCACCCAAGTTGTCTAATGCTTTGAAGTCCAGTCTCTTCATAGGCCTGGCCTCCTTTCACTTGCAGAAAATCATCTCCCCAGTGGAAACACTTTAGCCACACCACTCACTTCCCTGGCCCTTCAATTCCCGATGCCCTCACCTACCTGCCTGCTGCCTCTTTTGCTAATCCTGAGGGGGGATTCCTGTCCTGGCCAGCCGGGCAGATCAATGGGGTAGGGGGGGGGGAGGAAGCAGGGGCTTGGTATGGAACAGGGGTATGCAAGGAGTGGAGACAAAGCCAGGATCATAGCCAGCCTCATTTATTCAGGAATTTGTACAATGTTATATAGGGTTCAGAGGAGGAGGTCTCTCATTATCTCTAGCAAGGAGAGACCACCAATGCAAACAAGCCACAGTAACAAGCAGGGGGAAAGGTTCAGTCATCACAATAGGAAACTTGAAACCTTCCCTGGAGCTAACATTCAGTACCTGCTTCAGGCAAGAACCCGGATGTTCAGGTCTGGGCCTCAGGTCTGGGCCCTGACAGATCCTCCTTTTCTATTATTTCTAATGAGAGAGTGAAAAGACAAAAACCCCAGGGGACTGCGCCTGTCTTAGGTTGTCAGGAGTCACAGATGTGTGGCGATTTAGCACCTCAAGCTATTTTGAGTCTGCCCCCCATCTTACCTGTCATTGGCTGACCAGTCCATCGCACAGGGGAAGGGAGTCTTATTTCTTCAGACTGAGTGTAAGTCTGAGTAAGAGCCTCCCTTATCTTGCATCTCCAACTTATGGTAATGTACCTGAATGGGTTTTGCCTGAAGGGCCTGAATCTGTTGTCTTACAAAAGAGATTATCCTGTTAAAAATGTAAGGACCCACAACAACCAATATCAAAAGGGTTAATAGGGGACCCATGAGGGGAAGAAGATAGGGTAGGAGTCCATTGAGACCAGTCCAGAGTGGATTTTCAGCTAGTTCCTGGCGTCTTCTTTCCAGGTCATCTTGTAACTGTCGGATTTTATTGCGGACGATTCCTGATTTGTTGGCGTAGAAACAGCATTTCTCCTGCAGGACCAAGCAAATACCCCCCTTTTCCGCAGTTAGCAAATCAAGGCCCCGTCGATTTTGAAGGACTACCTCAGCTAAGGAGTCAACCTGATCCTGAAGATCCTGAATAGTACTGGAAAGAGCATGAACATCATTAATAAGTTGTTGAGACAGTTTAGTATATTGTGAGAGAGATATGCCTAATCCAGCTGTCCCTGAGGCCACGGCGGCAGTTATACCCAGGCCTGCAAATAAGGGAATCAGGTGTACTGCTCTCTTACTTCTACTGAAAAAATGGTCAACCGTTGGAATGGGCATGGGCTCACTTCCAGGAACAACGTCTATGTCAGGTAGAAGGAACCCCAACACACATTGACCAGTCCAATTAGCCGGCAATGCGGTATACGCCCGGTTATTTCCACAAATGAAAACAGTGTCCACGGGAGGACAAAGAGGAGAATTCACCTGAGAGGTGACATTGGTAAAAGTGGAGCAATTTGAAAAAGCTAGTGCGCCCAAGTCAAGAGAGGTATTAAGATCGGAAGTGAAACAATGCGCCTCAAAAAACTGGATAGGCTGAACCAAGATGGGAACAGAGAAAGAACAATTATGGTAGGGCGCAAGTGAGGAATTGGTTGTTGGAAAGGCCAAAGGCACAGGGAAACCCATTTGTAAACATAGCCAACAATTATTGGCCAGTGAGGAATTTGTTAAATTAAGTAAATTGAATGAAGAGTTGAGGATATTAAAAGTATTGTAGTCAATGCCCAACTTTCGTCTTTCAGCAGGAAGGGCAAGTGGATGATAGCTAAGCGCAGGGGGAAGGCGTGGTGCAAGCTGTTTTAAGATTGTACTGACAAAACGATATCTGGCTTTGTCTTGAGGACCTCTTCCATCGGTGACATGTACTGGGGCAGTAGTTGCCCAGCACACTGTGTCACCGACCTTTTTGTTAGCACCACAGGTGGTCAGCAAGGTAGAGGCCAGTGGCTGACTTGCAGGGGACTTCCTGATAAGAACAGCAGTATAATAAGTCTTATTATTATTGGCCGTGCATTGAGAAAAGGTCTTGTAACACGAGGAGTGTACTGACTCAGCAAAGGAAGTGCAGGTACAATGCCCTCCATGTGAGGGGCCACCTATAGTTGTCTGGAGGCATTTATAGCTGGACTTACGGCTGGAGCCTGTAACAGTGACCAAATATGCGATGTGGCCAGGGCAAGTAATGTAAGAGACATACCCATTAGGAGCGGTAGAGAAATAGCCCCACCAGTACTCACAAGGTTTACCATGAAGATGTTGAGTCAAAGATACAATCTTGCCTGGATCCTTGAAGCCGGCAAAGGCCCAAGAGAAAAGTAACACCTCAGCATAGAGGATGAGCCAGGAAGTGATCACCATGCTGTAACAAATCTGTAACAAATCTGACAAGCCGTTCAGGCAACCATCGGGCTGCATCATGAGTCTGTGAAGAGACACATACAGATCCCCTTCCCCAGATCAGAACTGGGTCAGGGCCTACCAAGTATTGTTCAAAGGGTCCTTCCATTTTACCATTGCTAATTGATTTTGCGTTTCCGTATGCCAGAAACGATCGGCTGCACTTTTCGCCTGAGCGTCAAGCCTTAAGAAATTGAGGATGAACAGAGCATGGTTTAGCGTGTTGCGGGGGTTACCTGTAGGAGGGGTACCAGGAACCATGTAAAATCTTTTGGATGGTGGTTTTTTACGAAAGATGGGCACGCTCAACTATGCCTTGTCCTTGAGGATTATAAGGGATGCCCGTGGTGTGGTGAATGGACAGGGTAGAGCAAAAAATTTTTTAAGGCCTTTGCAGTGTAGCATGGGCCATTATCAGTTTTAATACGTTTTGGGATCCCCAAAATGGAGAAACAGTGGAGCAGGTGTGCAATAACATGTCTAGAGGTTTCACCTGTTTGAAGGGCGGCAAGGAGAAACCCACTAAAGGTATCCACAGTAACGTGAATATACTTAAAATTACCGAATTGAGAATTATGGGTTACATCCATTTGCCAGAGGGCGTTGGGGACGAGGCCCCTGGGATTAACACCAAGATGAGGCACAGGAAGGCCTGTCGCGCAGGTGGAGCAGGCTTTTACAATTTGTCTGGCTTGGTCACGAGTAATTTTAAATAAAAGCCGTAATGAGCGAGAGTTGAGATGATGAAGCTCATGAGCCTGTGGAGCATTTGAAAAGTCCATGGATTTCCAGCCTGTTTATTTTCTCGGGCCAGGTCCCTACAGAGATCCTGAAATTTAGTTTTCCAAAGTAAGTGATCTCCGCCGTCAAGGGCAGCCTTTACTAAAGTTTGCCAATTTAGGGGAGTGAGCCACCCTTCTGAGATAGAATCAAGAATTGTGAGAGTGAAAGGGGCACTAGCACCATATTGGGTAACGGTGGTTTTTAATTCCTTTAAATGTTGAAAATTATGTGGCTGGTGATAACGGCGGCATTGGCCTTGAGCATCTAGAGCTTTAATAACTGGAAAGACAGAAGCCGCGGAAAAGGGTTTTTTTGGGAGGCGGGAAAGCAGACAAAGCCGCGGGAGCCGGGGGAGGAGTTAAAATGGTGTCTGCGTCAACTCCGCCCCGTAAAGGCGGCTTTAAGGTGGTCTCGGCGTCACCCTTCCCCCATAATGGCAGAGCGGGATCTGAGTTGGATGAGGAAGTTAATTGGATCTGTTGAATTTGAAGGGAAAGTTTATGATAACGAGCCTGTAGGCGCATGCGCTCCTCAAGGTGGGCGATTTTGGTTTTTAAGGTCGAGATTAGGGTCAGCGAGTTGTGAGGGCGCAGAGGCAACAGCGGCCGTGTAGTAAGGAGGAGAGTGGGGATTGTAACGTGCAGCCTCCTCCTCCAGGTTGCTCCAATCTACTTCGCCCGCCTCAGGATCCTCCCCTTTTGCGATACTGGTTGCAAAGGTTGCAAAGCAACTCTGATTTCGCTTCTGGAGTTAAGCAGTGGAAAAACTCCGCCCTCTTCTTCAGAGGATCAAGGAGGGTTTGTAGCTACAGAAGTAAGCTTGCTCAGAGAGGGATAAATTTTGTTTTTCTTTTTTATTTTGGGCCGGTCGGGAGAGGCCCTTTCATTTTTTCCTAAGGGTTCTTTTAGTTCTTCTTTGGATGGATCATCCTCCGCATCACTGTGAAACGGAATTAAGTCCTCACAGCGATCATTGGGGGATGGGGCCCCTGCAGTGCTGGGAGAAGCACTTCTAAGCAGTTGTTCTGTTTGGCAAATGGTATTTTTAATATCAGGGTAGGCTTCCTTTTTTGAAATTAAATCATTAATTAGATTCCAGTATGAGAATGCTGTCACCGGAATTTTTTCGGGGCCAAAAGCTTCATAGAAATCATTTAAAGCATCTCCTACCAGTTTCCACCTTTTTTGATCTATTGTGCCCTCTTGAGGGAACCAAGGACACAGGTCTTGAACAAAATCAAAAAAGTGGAGTAGATCCTTTTTTGTGACCCTGACTCCTCGCGTCCTAAGTGCCACTTTTAATTGCTTCACATATATCTCATGCTGGCTTATTTCCTGTCCCATGATTCAGACGCTGTACCTGAGCTTACCTTATCCACTACGCGGCAGGGTCCCACGTCGGTAAGGCTTCCTCCTGAGCTAGCTAGCTTCCTTTTCGGGCGTCTTCTCCCTCTGTAAGTTCTTCCTCATACCCGTACCCGTGCCACATGCTGGGCGCCAAATGTCCGGGCCAGCCTGGCAGATCAACGGGGTACCCGGGGGAGGAAGCAGGGGCTTGGTATGGGACAGGGGTACGCAAGGAGTGGAGACAAAGCCAGGATCATCGCCAGTCTCATTTATTCAAGAATGTGTACAATGTTATATAGGGTTCAGAGGAGGAGGTCTCTCATTATCTCTAGCAAGGAGAGACCACCAATGCAAACAAGCCACAGTAGCAAGCAGGGGGAAAGGTTCAGTCATCACAATAGGAAACTTGAAACCTTCCCTGGAGCTAACATTCAGTACCTGCTTCAGGCAAGAACCCAGATGTTCAGGTCTGGGCCTCAGGTCTGGGCCCATACAGATTCCCAGCGAAGGAACCAAATAAGTTGTCATTTTAGGAATTTCCCAAATACACAATAGAGGTGGTATACATGGAACATGTAAATTTGGGGTTGTTGGGCCTTCATGGTAGCCTAGGGGTAAAGTCATGAGGAGCCTGTGTCGACATCTCAGGCTAGCAGGCAGCACTGCCCCTAAGGTAACTAGGGGGACCCTGGGGACAGGTGAGGCCAGGCCAGGGCTCAGATGCCCCCCACCCCTCCCTTTCCCCCTGTGAGTGTGGGTTGCAAGCTGTGAGAGTGAGTGTGTGCGTGCTCAACGAAGGAGGGTCTGGCCCACCCAGGAGGTGTGTGATGTCTACACCAGGGTCAGCCTGGATGGTGGTGGGACCCTGAGAGTCATGGTGCTCCCTCTTGCCCCAGCTCGGTGCTACCCAGCAGGTGTGTCTGTTTGCTCCCAGAAGGTGCTCTGTGTCCAGGAAACTGAGGAGGCCCAGGGAGTGCATTTCAGTGGCTGGCCTCCCGTAGCCCCTCCCATTGCCCTCCCATCCCTGTGGGATCCCACCCAGAGCAGAGCCCAGTTTGAAGTGCACCCGCAACATTGAGCTTGTCGCACATGTCCATAGGAACTGGCTAGAGTACATAAAGCCCATGGAGGAGCTGCCTCAGGCTGGTGCCCTGGCTTGACTGGGAGGGGTAGGGTCAGGTGCCATGGGAGGAGACCACACGGGCTGGATTTGGACCCTAAGCAGTATGACGTGGGACTTGTAGTTGCCAAATGCAGGGAACAAGACCCCCAAGGGCCCACTATCCTGGGCTGGTCTCCTCTCAGGCTCTAGCATTTGCAACATGTCTGTTGCAAAGTCTGGTGTGCGGCTGATTGTCCTCTTGCATCTCTAGCGCCTTCTCCAGGGTTAACAGGGCTCCCCTGTAGCTCAGGGGACAGGCCGGGAACCCAGCCAATTTGCTGATTGGAAGCCAACAGTCACCAGGGGACTTGAAGGGACACTAGAATCTGCTCCTGCATGTGCGGTTCCAGAGCAACAGGAGAGCCCAGCAGGCCTGCTGGGTCAGACAGAAAATGCCCAAGGTGATCCTGTGGGCTCTGGGGTCACCAAATACATCAAGCCCATGGAGGAGCTGCCCGAGGGTGAGTGACCCAGGCTGGTGGCCTGTCTGGACTGGGAGTGGTAGGGTCAGGTGCTATGGGTAGAGACCACACGGGCTGGATTTGGACCATAAGCAGTATGAGCTGGGACTTGTAATTGCCAAATGTAGGGAACCAGATCCCCCAAGGGCTCAATATCCTGGTCTGGTCGCCTCTCAGGGTCTAGCATGTGGTCTGTTGCAAAGTCTGGTGTGTGTATTTTTTATCATTATTTAAATGGTGACCAAATTTCATATAAAACTAAGGTTTTATTAAGTTTAAGAATGAGAATTTGTTAAATAATTAATATCACTTTCTCTAAAAATCATTGAGCTTGCAGGTTTACTTTTTGCTTCTAATTATAAGAAAACTAAAATTTAATGACCTCACCTAAAAAAATTAAGACAATTAAAATATGTGTTTCTGTATGAGTTATCCAGGATAATAGGGTGGTCCCCAGGCAAAGGGGAAGTTCCAGGTTCCCTGCCCTACCCGGAGGAGGGTGGAGCTAAGCAGGGAGAGAAGAAGTTGCAGAGGAGACTGAGAAAGGAAGCCGGATGGAGCCAGAAGGAGACCTGGAGGAGGCGCATGGAGCCAAGAAACACATGAAGAAACTATCCTTGCCTTTTGGTCGTGGACTGGGTGACACGGATGTGGGTGAGAGACCCATGGGGAGGTGACAATGGCAGTTTTTGTCTTGATTTTCGTTTTACTCTTTTCCTCCCAAACTTGTCTAGTTGTTTCTGATCCTTTTCTGTGGGTCCCCTTGGAAGGTGCTTTAGACTTGGGACAGGCTTTGGGCCTTGGTCTGGGCCAGTCCTGTTTGGGTGGAATTTTACCCACGAGAGGGTGCTTGATTTAGAAACTATATTCTTTACCTTTCCTGTATTGTTTACTAACTGTATTAACGTTCCTTTTCATTAAAATCTCATGTATTATGTTGATGCGGCAGATGGCAGAACCCATTTAGAGCAGGCAGGTTTGTGGTGTCTGGGCTGCCCTTCTCCCTGACCTCTAACAGATTCTTTGTCTTTTCTGTATTGTTTACTAACTGTGTTAAAGTTCCTTTCCATTAAAATCTTACATGTTTTGTGTTGATGCGGCAGATGGCAGAACCTATTTAGAGCAAGCAGCTTTGGGGGTTCTGGGGTGATCTTCTCTGGCCCTGTAACAGACTGACTGCTGACACCTCCTGGAAGACAAGTGACAGGGCCCAAGGATGTTGTCAGCTCCCCAGTGATGAGGTCTTTGTGGTTGAGCCTGGGGTAATCCTGGATGTGACTGGCAAGATATTTTCTGATTGCCATGAGAGCTGCATACTCTGTACTCACCCAGCATTCTGGACCCACCTTCCCCTCCTCACAAAATATAATAGGAATGGCCTTGATGGCGGACAGAATAGAAAGACTGGAACAGAGGTGCCCTAAGACCATAGCTGACTCACAGGGAGGTAGGGATAGAGGGTAATAGCATGACCATTAACCCAGCTGTAGAGGTCGTGACTCTTAGGCACCAGGGCCTTATCACAAGGCATGAGACCCAAGCAGGATCAGATGCTCTAGGGAGTGGAGCACAGACCAGAGGGAAAAGATACAGAGATTGGGCCCATCCTGGAATCTCCACTCCCCATCCTGGTATCTCTGGTCCCTCTTGGATTCTGCGTGGTTATCCAAAATCAGTAACCAACTGACGGCTCACAAGGAGTGACCCCCCCCAAACAGAAGAGGACTGTGTCTGTAAAGTCTCTGCACTGGCTCGGGGCAGCACTCCCTCTGACCAACTCCCTCCCTCCGCAGGGCAGCAGCTTCCTGCCCGCCTGTGACCTGTCAAGTCCGCCCACCAGCCACCATGCAGGCCTCGCTTAGCAAAACCTGCCCCTTTCCCTAATAAACCTGGTCTTTAAATGTAACTACTGTCTCTGTCTCGTGGAGAAACTTGCCCGGAAAACTCGCCGCGTGCCGCTGACAGGGGAGCTCTGCAGACACCTTTCCCAGAGTGAACCCCAGGACCCCACTGTAATGCAACCAACCCATTCCGGGTGGGTTCATGAACGGTTCTAGCAGCCATATGTTCTTCACCATTGTTTGTAGTCGCCGGTCTCCTCCTCACACTCCACTGTCCTCCTCCACCCTCGACACCGCACCCCCACCCTACTCCAGGTGCCGCCATCAGGCCTGCGTTCAGGCCCGCAGGGATGCGTCATCTCTCCTAATGGTGGGAGGGCAGAAAAGCCTGATGCTTCTTACCTTACCCTACAATCCACCCCCTCAGCGTTTTCTGCCAGACCATCTACAAATAGACAATTTTGTTTCTTAGCAAACATAAACAACGCAGCCATGGCACACAAAAGTAAATAGTACACATCACACTATAACAACAAAAGACAACAGAACACAAGTTAGTCCAGGCGAGGTACCAACCTAGTGGCAAAAGACATTCATTGGCACCAGCAGATGATCCACCAAATCTGCTGCCGAAGGCACTGCAGCATGCAAAGTGGGAACTAGCTTATTTAACTCATGATAATCTACCGTCATGCGCCAAGAGCCATTGGCTTCTTCACCTGCCACACCGCCGAATTGTAGGGGCTGTGGGCAGTACGCACAATGCCCGCTTTCTCCAGTTCTGATATTGTGCCCGTAATTTCCTTGTTCCCTCTGGACAACCGATATTGCTTGGTATGAGTCACTCGCCTAGGGACTGGCAGTTGTATGGGCGGATGCTTAGCATGTCCTCTGACCATTGCCTTTACCACACGCACTCTAAGGCGAAACACTCCGGCTGTGGTCTCTAGCCATAAGCCACATAGTACATCCACCCCCAGGATGTACTCCAGGACAGGCGATACATATACTTTACACTCTTTCAGGGGCAATCGCCCAATACCCAGAGATAGTCTCACTGTTGTCACCTTGACACTCTGGCCTCCATAGCCATCAATACAACAAGTAGACCCGTGATATCTTCCTGGATTTCCACAGAGCACAGTACATTCTGCTCCTGTGTCTACCAGAGCTAAAACGCTTTGCACGTTAGTTGGGGACCAGTGGATGGCAAGCTCCACATGTGGCCTCCAGTCCCCGCCCGTCCCCTGTGGACGGGTTCCTTGGCCCTCACCCTACTGAAGGTGATCAGGCCATTACCCGAGGATGAGGTTGGCAGCAAATGGTCTTCCAGGCGCAGGGCGCACTCCTGAGGCCTGGAGCTTCCAGGCTCCCTCTGAGCAGCAGTCCTTCTCATGGGCGTGACCCTCTGGTCTTCTTGCAGCTGCTGCCATAATTCCAACAAATATGCATTGGGCTGTGCATGTATTTTAGTGCTATCTGCACCTGCTCTCACTAAATCTGTCCACATTTGGTTATGGGTGACTTTAATAGGTTCTGTGATGCCAAGAGGTTTCCTTTCCCTCCTTGGCATTCCTTTTGACTTTTCAACAACTACCCGTTTTCCCTTCTGAGTTTGAGCGTGCCGGCTCTCTACTTCGCCCAAGCGGGCTATCATTTTTGTGACGTCGTGTATCTGACGTCCCACATAGGGTGCTAGAACTGCCAGGAGGGATCCAAATGAGGATGAGGGGGCATTCTTTAATACCAAGTCTCTCATCCCTGCTGTGAAACATTCGTCGTCAGGACCACAGGTATTCACATAAAACATGGCCTGCCACATCCCCAATTCCCAAAGGACCTGTACCAGCTCGGCGTACATCTGTCATCCGCTTACTGTGTCAGGCACGTGTCCCGCATCAGCCCATACTGTCCGTATGGCAGCCATTATCCATTCCAGGAGGGTGTGGTTGCCCTGGCAACACCATCGGCTGTTCTGCAGCCTCTGTTGCAAGGATGGGTGTAAAGTCAGTCAAGTATGTCCATCTCTTGTGCTGTGCAAATAATCCCATCCACCCCCAGTCCCCTAAACGTAGCAGCCAGGCTGCCAAGGGTTTCCCCTGGTTTCTGGTGGAAATGTTTGCCCAGGTCCACCAGTTCTGCCTGGGTGTATGGTCGATAAGTAGTAAATTCTGTCATTTGTGGTGGTCCAGCAGCCTGACCCCTTGGGGCCATAGGTCACTGCTGCTTCATTTTCAGAGTCACCACCAGGCGGACCCAGAGCATGGGACCAGCCTCCTCCTCCTCTCCATAGGAATCTGGCATCTCCAGCATTGCAGGTTGGTTTGCCATTAATGACTGAGATTGGGGCAAAGGACCAGCCTCCCTCTCCTTCCTTTCTGAGTCTGGCATCTCCGGAATGGTGGGTTGGTTTCTCTGAACTTCTTCCTCCAGAATCCTCAAATGTTGTTGCAGTTTCTGCATCTCTTTCCGCATCTCATCTCATACTTGCTGGACTCTAGATTGCTCTTTCTGCCTGGACTCAAGCAGAGCTGTGAGAAACACCCTTCCCACGGCTCCTGCCACCTCGCGGGCACTGCATGCATTCAGGGTTTCTTCTATTTCATACAGGGCCTGTTCCAACTGCCCCGCCGATCCATCTACCGCTGGCCATTCCTGGGGAGGTGCCCACTTGGCGAGGAGGTTGGCCACGGAGTACCATCTGCTCTTAGCCAGCCACCCGGCAATCCCTCCAGAGGTTCCAAAGGGTTTCGTCTGCGTAGAGCCGTCCTGCTCTGAACTGTCCTTCTGTCTACACCAGTTGTAACGCAACCAACACATCCCGGGTAGGTTTATGAAAAGTTCTAGCAGCCATATGCTCTTCGCCATTGTTTGTAGTCACCGTACTCCTCTGTACGGGGTGGAACTGGGTGATCTCCCACAGCTTGTCAAAATCAACCGCCTTGGAGACAGGCTGCTGCTTGGAGCCCAGCTAAGAGGCAGGGGATGAAGCGTCTCAGCGAGCCCTGCCCCCGCGACCCGCATCAGTGTCAGTCTGGGATTCCCAGCCAGGCTCCTGGCGGGGACCTGCTTCAGGGCCTGGGGCATGGTTGTGTCAGTGAAGTGGCCTGATCTGTGTGGCCTCGAGCAGACTGAAAAACACGTTCTCTGTGATTAGAGGTCAGGGTGGAAGAGAGGATAACGTGTAGTCATGACACCGAAGGTTATAGGTGTAACCTTAGGTGTAACCTTGGGTAAGATAACGAAATTCTTTGGTGTAGGTAGTGGGGTCCTTAGTGAAACAGCCGAGACGCTTTTCCATCTGGGAGAGATCAGACAGAGGGAAAGGATCGTGGACTCCACCTGCTCCTTCATCCCCGCAACCTCCCTAAGGGGACAAAGAGGACGATTGTGAGAGCAGGTGTGCTGGCTGGGAGGTGGAAGCGGGGGCTGGACTGGGGAGCTGAAGGAGGTGAAGACTGAACATCTAGAGGATCAGAGAATGCAGAAGAGGGGTCCGGAGAGGGCGAGGAGTGAGAGGAGTCTGGAGACTTGGAAAGTACGACCGGTTTGCAGGAGGGAGGGACGGGAGCGCAGGAGAAAACAAGCGTGGACATGAGGGATCTGACCATGTTCCATTGCGGTGACAGAGACTGTTTAGGTCTGTAAGGACCGTGAAATGGAAAGCGCCATGTCCCGGCCAGTGAGAGCCATTCTCCAATGGGCACTGAGGCCGGGCAGTGTTGCTGGAGAAGACGAGACGCTGAAGCACAGATCTGGCCCGAGTCCCAGCGGATCGAGGTTTGAGAGAAGGCGTCCCAGAGGGGTGGCCGGGCTCGGCTTGGAATCTGTGAACCCCATGGCTAAGTGGGCTCCTCTCCCCAACGAATGGGGGTACAGACTCAGGACTGCAGCGTCTCACCACGTCATCTAACCTATGGGGGCACAGGCCCCGAATCGCGGCATCCCACGACCCGGTCCTGGCCTTTGGAATGGGGGCAGGCGAGCGAGGGGGACGTCTCCACCGCTAGGTTGTCGCCTGGACTGGGACATCTGGGCTGCACGGGTGTCCTCAAATCCAGAACTCGGAGCAATGGGGGTCGGCTGGCATAGGCCCGTGGTTTATGGAACAGTCGACCAGGATGGGGGTGAGGAGAGGAGCCGGGTAACCAGGGGTGAGGGCCTCCTAGGAAGGAGGGTCAGGCAGTGACTCGCCCCAAGGATCAAGGCCGGTGGTGGATGTGAGGCGTCTGCCATGGAGAGGAGAGTCCCAGGGACGGGAAGGCGGCCCCAGCGCCAGGGGACACAGCCTTCCGGGTTTCGGGCACCAAGATGAAAGGTTTGGCGTGACAAAGAAAAGGGGAGCCAGGCTAAACTTTCTCAAAGGAAGGGAAAATTCATTGCTTCCCCGGGCGAGCTCTGCTGACCCAAGGTGGGTTGTCCCTGAAGTCACCCCATTGTGGGGGGAGATGTCATTTCATAGGGTAAGGAGAGGTTAGGCAGGAAAACTGGGTTGGTAGTGGGGGAACAGGTTTAGGTGGAACAAAGTTGTTTTTTCGTGGAGCCGAGTTGTTTTTCCCCTGCTTATGGCTTCAGTTTTGGTTTGATGGAATCAGGGGTACTGGTGTCAGGACCATCTTGTTTCTATGTGGGTTTCCCCATTCCTGGCCCCTGCTTCGACCTTTCATACCAGCCTTTTGTTGATAGGAAAAGGGGCGACGGTTCTTTCTTTGGCTACTTCCTGCTGGACAGGGGGGGAAGACCAGGGTGGGGGCTCAGGCCTGGTTACGAGAAGGTCTTTGCAGGGACGCGAGGATATGGGTGGAGGAGTTGGTTAAAGGTGCTACGGAGTGGGTCTTGGATCCGGTGTTGGATGAAATGCAGTAAGCATGGGGCAAAAAGAAAAAAATAAGGTTAGGATCAGAGGCCCTGTGAGTGCTAATACCTTGCCTGAGGCTGCGCTGATCTGGAATTTCCAGGTATAGACAGAAGAACGGGAAGTGGCTTGAAGGGATGGGATTAGAAACAGTGGGTCTCTGCTCTGTAGGCTGAGTGGAACCTGGACCAG